AGGCATTCTGTTTTTATGGAGGTCCCTTCCCAGGGGTGGGTTTCTACTGGTCCTGTCCACCTCTGTAGAACCGGTAGCTCTGAAGAGCAGCATAGAACTGGTTCTATGTCTGCTGATGTTTATGCCCACCTGCCCACCCGCTCTTACCTGATCTTTATTTCCTGATTTTTCAACTTCAGCTGCTGAACGAGGTATAGTTGCAGTTAGAAAAGCAAGAAAAGAGGGCTGTTTCAAAGGCTGCTTCTCTGCAGGCAACTGCTGATGACGAGTTACAGGCGAACGGCTCGCAGCCTGCAGGTAAGCTCGTAAATCCCGAACCGGTAGTTAACCCTGTCGTATCCCACTCCTATCCCTTCCCCACAGTTGGTCTGTAAAATTGAGGTTTTAATGTAGCTAAATGTCCTTTTTATCATCTGCCTTCCATTTCTTTAAGCTTATTACTGCATATTCTTTTTCTGTGCTCTGCATAATGTTGCTTACTCCAGACAGTGAATAGTGCGGTGACTTAATATTAATAATAGAAAAGGCTTAATAATAGAAAAGATAAAAGGCTTCCTTACCTGTAATTTAAACTGCTGGAGCAAAGAAAGCTGAAGAGAAATCCAGTAGTGAAGCTTTTGCAGAAAACATTGTGCGTTCAGCATTAAATTACTATACCATGAGGTGCTACTGGACATGTCCCTATCCTTCCTGCTGATTACGAAGCTTTTAAGAGAATTCAGTTTTGTGTGAGGTCACAGCAGTATGCTGATAATCGCTAGATCCACCTCAGGCCAAGCTGAAAATGCTGTGGAAGTCCTGAACTCAAGCTTGGAGGCTGTGAAGATCTAAATCAGGGATCTCTAAAACTTTGCAACTTTTAAGATTTGTGGACCAAAACCCAAAATTCCCCAGTCTGGCCTAGATGGATAGAAACAAGTTAAATTTGGGATAGCAAGGCAGAATTACAGAAACATTTTGGCTCAGACACATCTTCAGTGATTATTATAAATGAGGTCACACCAAGGAACAGATTTGCACCTTGGGGGCTGTCCTACATGTTTAATTACCACAAAAACGCTGATGGTGGCTGTGACCAGGGGAACTTTTGTTGGTGAAACAATTTTAGGTTTACTTGGACCAGTGGTGGGATTCAAATTTTTTTACTACCAGTTCTGTGGGCGTGGCAGGGGAAGGATACTGTAAAATCTCCAGTCAGAGGTGGCATTTACCAGTTCCCCGAACTACTCAAAATTTCCACTACCGGTTCTCCAGAACTGGTCAGAACCTGCTGAATACCACCTCTGACTTGGACCCTGCATCATTGGTGACTGTAATTCACTCTCTCATTACTATATTATTAGGTGAATGGGGCTGCTTTTGAAAACAGCCCAGAAACTTCAAACTAGTTCAAACTGCAGTAGTTAAGACACTTGAGGATACTAACCACTGCAGGTAATCCTTATTTAATAATCAACCATGCAGGAACCATTTGAATTTATGATTTAACAGATTAACAGAGTTGGAAGGTAACTTGTAGGTCATCTAGTCCAACCCATTGCCCATGCTGAACAAGTTGTAGGTATGACTAGTCCTTCTATTTACAACCTCGCAGTATCCCATAATCATGTGATTGTGATTCTCTACTTTCCTTGCCAGCTTCTGACAAGCAAAGTCAATAGGGAAGTCAGAAGGAAGTCAAAAACTTAATGACCTACACAGTCCTCAATAATGGCAACTGCTGGACATCTGTGTTCACAACTGCAGTTGTGGTTTTTGTTTTTATTTTTGATAAGTGGTTTGAGTTTCCAGTCTAATTGTTGCAAGAAATATCCTTCTGGGTTCAGTTCCAAGTGGGGAAGAAAGACACTGGAAACATGGTGACTGCTTGGAAAGATGGTTTAATGATGGACAGAATCACATGTCTTGGAGCTCCAAAGTGAAAAGGATGATCACATGCTTCAAGATGTTGGGTGGAGGAAAAAAAAGGGGGCAATATGCTGAGAGACCCTTAGTTTTATAGCCTCTGTTGGGCCCCACCTTCATGTTTCCTGTTCCTGTGTAAGAAATGTATCCCATTGGCTGTCAGACTCCCAGGGGCAGGGGTCTTAGCTAACTTAGTAGACTTTGTCCAGACCACATAGCAGATGGAGTGCTGGCTGATGCAATCTTCCCAGGCCAGGTGGTGAGATGGATAGAGGCCTTTGTTATGTAGAATATTCTGGCGTAATGGTCCAGTAACAAAGGTGGGGGTGAGCTTCTGCTTCTGATGTGAGTTTCTGCTTCTGAGTTTCTACTTGCCTTTTTAGGAGAAATATTCTGCCTTTTTAGTATATCCTAAAATATTTCATTTTCCTAGGAGAGGGGTGGGTTTTAACTTCCAACAAATTAGTGAAGACTGCCTGTACTGCAACATAAAACCTACAGGTAGTCTTTGTTTAACAACGACTCTTTCAGTGACCATTTAAAGTGTACATGAATGAGTGGTACTTACGGCTGGTCCTCAAAGTTCCAGTAACCCTTGCACCTTCCCCCACCCACCAGCAGCCATTGCTGGCCAAACTGTACTTGCGCCATGCCTCGCCAGTCAACTCATGTACTCTTCCCCATCCGGCAGCAGTCACATACTTGCCTGCTGGCCTCCTTGTGAGCCACCTGGGTCTTGTTTAACAATACACAATCCTTGCTTAATGATGCAACAGGGAATGCCAGGATTGTTGTCACTGAGCAATGTGGTTATGTAATATACTTTACGACTTGCTCACTTAATGATGGAAATTCTGGTCCCAGTTACTGTTGTTAAGTGAGGACTATTTGTGTTTGCTGGTTATTTCATTAGCTCATTACACAGTGTTGGGGTTAGAGAAACACATGTCATTGTTAATTAGGGTGAGAATCCTTAATGAAATTCTCATGGATTAGTTTCCAAGTTCTAATTTCCATTGTACGATCCTTTATACACGGACTTAAGAATATTGAACTGTAATCAGTTTCTGATTATGAAGTACTGTTTTTGCCTACAAAATTCTATACAGCTTGGCTTTAAAATACATGAAGGATCAAATATCCTGGAAGAAAACGATGAAAAAATCAGATCTGTATCATTGCCCATGAAGCCATCAGGATTCTCAAAGGAGTTACCTATTTATGTGTAGACGAGGGGTGGAAAGGATTGGAACTTCCTTTTAATTAAACAGTATATGTAAGGAAATGCGACTGCTAAGTGAGAAAATTATAAAGGAAAGCTAAGCACAAAAGTTAAAATTAACTCTTGAGTTTGACAGTTTAGAGAATGGAGAAAAGAGAAATAATGTGCTTATGAAAGAGGTTAGAGAAAGAGCCAAGAAAGCTTGGTGACTCTTACACAAAAGTGGTTCAATTAAATGTTACATTATTATAATCACAGGGAAAAGGTTCATGTTCATTATTTTGGCAGCATCATGGCATTAGACCCAGAGGTTTTGTCTGTGCCACCTCATAAGTAAGGGAATGTTTCTGGGGAGGATGCCAGAGAATATAATGAATCGTCCATTCGATGTTTAAAATGACTTTTGGGGGAAAAAAACCCTTTGGTTCCTAATCCAAAAAGTGCTTCAAAATTGAGCACTAAGAAAAAAAATTGTTCATCGCAGATGGTATTTAATTTCCTTTGTGATATCTCTTTAATTGAGAAGACACATGGATGAATATATCTGAGAAGTTATTAAAAAGGCAAGAAAATAATGTTCACTTTGTGACATTAGGCTTGGCTTGATTCCAGATTTTAATGCTTAGCGTTGACTGGTGAAATCCAGTGAGATAAGTTAGTCATGAATAACTTATAACTTGCTGATTTTAGTGTGCTTGTTGTCTAGGTAGATGAATAAACCTGAATCCAACCTATGTAACTTGCATGTTAATGTTGATTTTCAATATTAATATTGTATAACTGATGTCTGATAGGAAATACTAATGGATTGATGTATAAAATTGACTTAAGCGCACCAACGTGCCTACCGTCCCTGTCCTATTGTTTCTCTTATTCTTCTTTTATTTTTCTTATATGTACCCATTTCATGTATTCACAACTATGTATACACTTATACTTATTATCTTGTAAACAATTGGCAAATCAAATAAATAAATAAATAAATGTATATCAATTTTAAATTCCGCTATTTTTTAAGAAAACAATCCTAATGTAAATAATATTTATTTACAGGCCAGTAAACTTGTTTTAGGATAAAGCATTTTCATTAAATGAGAACACAGCCAACTGAATTATTTGCAAACTAGTGGATTAGCATGAAGCAGTCAGGCTTTATATGTGATTAAAATTAAAAGGGAAAACTATGTAATTCATATTTGGTACAAAGGTATCTACTGAGGTTTGGGCTGTGTAATGCTGGTCTATGGTCGCAGTTATGGCAATTAAAAGAGAGAGAAACCTTTATGGAAAAAAACAATTATAGACCCCAGATAGTGCTGCTAAAGTAATATTAAGAGTTATATAAAGGATATACAGTACTGTTCATCTTCTGAATATCTACTACTCGCGGCTCCCCTTTATTTGGGGGTGCACCACAAAATAAAAAGAGGACAAATTACAGGCACAGTACAGGCTTCACTTAATTCCACTGAGCATGCTCAGTCTCGGCTCGCTAGTTACCAATAGGGGAAGGGCAAAGGCGTCAATCGACGCTATTGGGCATGCTCAGCTTTTCTGAGTTTGCGCAGTATTTATTTATTTTTTAAAAGGGGGGGGGGCAATTTTCACGCTACATCGGCTACGGCGGGGGAAGAAAAGCAACTCTGCTTTGTGTACGTATTACGACCGGTCGTTTCTTGTAGCTTTCTCGATCGAAAGTTTTTTTCCCCCACCCCGCGATAGCTGTAAGTTAAGCAGCGAAGAATCAAGGGAAGGCTTGTAATGAAGGAAGGCCCGTGCGTGTACGGTTGCTATGGTAACGGGTCGCCGGGATCTTACCGCGCGGCGACTTGCATTCGGTTTCCCGCGCGTGGGTTGAGCGTGCGCGGGCATAAGTTGTGTGTCCCTTGCCATGGCCAGCGCGCGTTAGGAATCTGGCCGACCTACTATGTATGGCAGGTGCCTCTTCGCACTCTTCTCGCCTGTGAAACTTTGATGGGAATGACTGCTGTCGGTGAGATTCAGTGATTATTATACAGTAACTATCGGCTACCAGGACCCATCGATTCTTAGAAGATGATAAAAGTGAAATGCATAAATGAAGGGGCAGTCTCGGAAAGGAAGGCCCCTATTTATTTCACCTTTCTTCTCTTTTAGACGAATGCTGGAATCAACCTGCATTTCAACGTAATGCTTGTCAGTAATAGCTAATAGCGAGTTTGCAACAAAGCAAACGGCGAATGTGCTTTCTTATATCAGAAGTTAATGCAGTATGTACAACAGATACGTTGCCAGGTTAGTATGACAATGACCAGGCTCGCATAAGGTGCAGAAACACACCTAGCCAGCTACATTTTAGTCTAGCATCTTGCATGATCAGCTACTGAAGTTGTTTAGTTCACTGTCTTGTACAAGTCCAGAAAACTAAGTAACTTTTGATTCAGTTAACAGTGGGCTATAATATGTTGAGTAATTTGGGAATAATTCTGAGCCCATCTGTTGAACTTTTATGATATTTTCTTATCAAAACTAACGAAGTCCCATGCTGTTTAGGAAGTATATATGGGGCAGTTTCTTCAGGGATTAAGAATTTAATAGCCTGAGAGGAATATATATATAAGAAAAGGGCTTAAATAGAAAACCGATTTAAAACTATGATGGCTAGGAGAGCTGAATCTCATTCTTTTAGTCACATGTGTCTTACTCACCTATTCTCCATATGCATCATAGTATCTTCCAGCTGTGTGGAGAATCAGAATTCTCAGTTCCCATGGCTATTGTTCAGATGTTTGCAGATTCTGAAGGTGTAAGATGGGGAACTGCCCTATGATAGTGTTTGCCATCTTCCTAAATCACAAAGTATGATTTATAAAGCACAGAAGCCAGAGTGAAATCAAATAATCTGCATTATGTCTTTTGATGACAATAGTTCACCATAACATCATATAACCTCCCCCCACATCCACAAACTCTAAGCACAGCACAGCACAGCACAGCAAGCATCCGTTTGCTTGTAAGTATCAGCGAGGGAAGCGAGGGAGAATAGAAGGGGTGCTGACCTTTTGGTGCTGACCTTACCTTAAATTTCTTACAAGGAGGGATAGGAATTTAGGTGATTATGTCATGAGTTTTCAAATGCTCCTTCAACTATCACAAGATGAAAGAAAGTTATGAACACAATTCTCCCTCTCAAGATGCTTTGGTTCTTTATAATCTGTGTCGATTTAAGGCCATGAGGTTTAACTTTCCATGCTATTTAACAAAGAGAGACTATTATCAATGGTTGGAAAAAAGGGGTGGAGATTAAGAATAGAATCTATTGCTAAGCAAATTAAATACCTGGACAACATGATGTTTATTAAGCACTAAGAAATGTAATTAATAAAAAATTAATAAAATCTATTAAAAAAACAGAGACTAAAAAAGAAAAGAAAAAGGTCATTTTGTTTCTATAATTCTTGCATTACAAAAAAACGATTATGGCTCAGAAATAAATTTCACCACTTGCTTGGCTTATCTGAGTTTGAAAACTCAACAAGGCTGTTAGTGCTTAAATAAAACCATCAGAGAATTTGGGGGCTGTAAGCCAGACTCGGGAATTTGAAAAACTTTGCAAAGAAAGGATGCTGTTGCCAATGAAACTGTATTTAAGCATCCTATAGTTACATTGACTCAAGGGCGTCTTTACTGTTGGCACCACACATTTCTAACCTAAACATAGACATGTCTCCATCTACTGAATTATTTTTGTGATGAGGAAATTAACACTTTATATATCTTTGCTTACTAAGAATCTTTTACTGTAATTTTGAACTGTACATAAGGAAAATATTTAGACCCAGGAGTGTTCTAATCTCTATTAGACAGATCACTGATGATGGGGAGTGGGTGTGTGTGTGTGTTATATGGTCAGCTGCCAGGGATGGTTTAGTTAATGTGAGCATGGGATTGTACTAGATGGCCTATAGCAACTTCTCCAGTGTATTCTTTCTATGTGTTGTGTTAACATTCATGATAGTGAAAACCATACAGGAGTACAATATAACTTTAGAAGATGGGCTGAAGATCCAGAAAGATCTTGAAAGACTAGAACACTGGGTCCTATACAACAAAATGCAATTCAAGTGGTGAGAAAAGTAAGGTTTTACAGTTAGGCAAGAAAAACTAAATGCACAGGTATAGAATAGGTAGTGTCTGGCTCAACAGCAGTAACTGTGAGAGGGATCTAGGAGTCCTAGTGGACAGCCACTTAAATATGAACTAGCAGTGTGCTGCAGGATACAGATTTATACTGCTTTGACAAGACTACAGTTGGAGTACTATATCCAGTTTTGGTCACCATGATACAAATTAAACAAATCAAGAATTAAACTGATTTCTGTTTTTCTAGATAGATATTCTTTAGGGATACCAAATGCCTAATAAGATCTAGTCATAATTCTGTTTAAATAAAATATATACCGTTTTTGATGCCAATTTACAAGCTGATTCTAAAAATCTATTGAACATAAAAAATAGTCTTTTCTGATGATTGAAGAATTACTATTTCAGCCAAAACCTTCTTGGGTTTCTGACTACTGAGTGCAGCTGGACAAATTAAGTTTTTCCAGGGCGGCTTGCTTTTATTCTGTGTTTCTTATTCATTATTTAAATGGTTGCTTAAATAATGTGCAAAATAATTAATTCAGAAGCTACAAACAGAAGAAATGGACAAAATCAAAGTGAATGGAATAGTTGTGTGAGTGGAGCTTTAAAAAAGGAAAGAAACAGCAAGGATGACTAGGAAAGTTATTTTCATAAATTCATTAGCAAGTAAACAGGAATGGATACAATATTACAACTAGATTTTAATATTTTTGTTACTTAAACATAATGCATTCCAGTGGAACTAGTTCATACACATTAGCTACAGAGGTTTGTGTGTAATCAAGTGCAGATATGTAAAACAAGCCAGCTACTCTGATGAAATATATATTTCTGCTCTCTGGGCTTGAAAAGAAAGGATTTGGAAACAAGAACTGCAGAAATTGCACTGAAATTGGAGGTTTTTTTTATGTCTTGCAAGTAACAAATCAAATATTCTAAATGGACTTAACACAGAAAGTAATTGATTTGGTGTGTTTTCTAAAAATTGTAAATTCACTAAAACAGGTTTCATTGATATATATACTGAAAGGGATCATAGTTATTTTTTTAAATTGATTGATTATTTTTCTAAGAAAAAAATGATACTAGCATTTTTCTTGACTAATATTTAAATACTAATCAGCAATGCTTATTTTCTGTTTAATAGCACTTATAGTGTTGCCTTCTTTCTTTTGAAACTAGATTTTTCTCTGTCGTTCAAATCCTGCTAAAATGTCATTATTGCATCAGTTACTAAAATATAAACTAATAGGAGTTTAAGTGCTTTTATAAAAGATATCAGTATAGTTTTCTTTCAGCTGAGAGAATTACCATGTTTGGCTGTGAGAGCATGTAATAGAGACGCTTTCAATGAGTGGCTTTTGTGTATCTTTCATCTTTGTAAAAAGATTTTCTGTGCTGCTTCTGCGTGGGCTTTTTGTCATTAAAGTAGGGCAAGAATAATTGTAGCTCCAGTATCAGAAGAAGCTTTGTATTAGCTGGAACAGTTGCTGTTTTTAATGCAGATTCAAAAACTCTTTATCTCTGAACAGTTCAGATGATCTGTAAACTTTCTTTAATAACATGCTGAGAGAGTGGATATGCTGGTTTGATTGGGCTTGTGGGTCTAAGTGATCTATAACATTTATTTGGGGGGTATTAAGTATTTAGAAGACTTAAGATGACTTGCTGCTTTGCTACTTGTAAGACTTTCATCAAACTTTAGATGTGCAGTTATTATTTCTTACTTCAACTTCTAAGGCATTCTATTGTGTTTTTGTCTTATTAACTTTCTCCTGCTCGGCCCAGTTCTTCCACTGATAAGTGCAGAACAGCAAAAATCAAGATGTTTTCTTTTTTTGCATAAAGCATTAATATGAGAGAGAGAGAAAATGAAAGCCCAGAATTTTTCAGAAACGAGGTAAAGTTAGACAACATAAAGATATTTAAATGAGACCTTAAAAATCCTTAACATTATGATTAGCATTAATGGGGAACCTAGGAATCTGATCTGGCAAGTTTTCCATATTTTGATTAGATCGTATTTATTTAAATTAGCTCTACTATTGAATAGGTTCCAAAGATTGGAACAAAATTCCATAGGTTGCTGCAAAATGCAGCAATTATGCTTGTTAATTAATAAATATTATATTTTTATTCCAGTATGGAATTTTATTCCAAAATGGAATCTTCACTGATTCCATTTGCTTGTTGTTTTCCAGACTTAATTCTAAGGGTTGGTCTTAAGCTTTAAAGCTTTAATAGCTTAAGGCTCTAGTTAACTAATAGGCTGACTGTCTTGATATTCAGCTGTGAACCTGCCAGGGTCCAATTTTGTTTTATAAGCTCTATGTGCGTCAGATTGTTCAGAAATGATGTGTGTTTATTGTGTTATATATATCTTAGGTGCACTTGTTAATTTCTTGCTGAAGGATATTTATTACACTTGGAAGTCATATATCATATGTATATATATCAGAGAGTACTGTATTGGAGAATCCTGTCGTAGTATGGTTTTTGCTTATGCATAGACTAGACTGATTATGCTAATCTGTAGTGCAGACAGATGGCTAAGCAGCATGGACTAATGTCCAGTATATTTGGAACTACAAGAATTAGATGTACATTACTGTGTAATCTGAATTCTAAAAACTTACATAGGAAATATTCCTGTCTTTAATATTTTTCTGTGCAGCAATATGCAGTCTTCAAAGAACACAAATCTAGACTATTCAGGAGCATTCTATAAATCTTTATTACCTGTCCAGAAGACTAGTGCTGAGATCATAAATGAAGCACGAAGTACACTAAGGACGTTAAGAACTCAAAGGCCATTTACACCAAGAGATGAGCGAAGGAAACTTTTTGGTTCCACCTCTTCAAGAACACCTGAAAATAGACCACCTTCTGCTTTTAGGTAGGAAAAAAAAGTGGGGGATACCCTTGTTCATACTGAATGAAGGCTTGAAACTTACTTGAATATTTTCATAATTTTCAATTAAAAAAAACAATTATGCAGTTATCCATATCTTATTACGGCATAGATCCTCTAGAAATATTTAAAATTACTCACTTCTAAAATGAAAATTCCAATCCAAAACCATTACTAGGTTTGTGTGTAAGAAGCTAAAGCTGCTGCAATATACTAGTTAAAACTCTCTTTTTTCTGTTGGTTTTGTGATTCCATCAACAATTGCTTATACAGGAGATGCTTTGTCACTGAATGGCTAACCACAGTAATTATTAATCACCACACACAGAAGGGACCAAAACAATAACAGCGTTAATTCTTCCACTGAATTTACCAGCTAGGAATCTATGAGATAAAATTTAAAAAAATGTTTTTCTTTATAACAAAGCATTTTTTATCCTTTACATACTATTCCCAGAAAGAAGTTTAAGGTAAATTAAGCAACTTGGCAGTAAAAATATTTTCACTGCATTAGTGACACACAGAAGGAAATCGTTTGGTGGAAAAAACACAAACAGCTGTGTACACATTGATTATTATGATTTCTTTTTCATTCTAGTCTCCATTCTTCAAGCTTTGAGTCAGTTGAATCAAGACCTGTCTCTTGTGCACGCCTCAGCCCACTGGACCATGTGCGTATTTATTTTTGGCAATGCTTATACACTCTATGCCCAATTAAATCTTGACACTAAGAAAACCTGCAATTTGTAGGGATTATGTAGCTTGATGCTTAAACCTACTGCCATAGTCCACTGGGGATTTTGTCATCTGCTCAAGATTGTGACGTAGCTGGGGTTATGCATCAAGGGGAAGGTACTCAGGTCACAGGAGGAGCAAAAAAGATTGAAGAGTTGCCATCTTACTGCTATTACCAGGCAATAAACTGTAGGTTCAGAACAGGAGAGAAAATTTGCAATTTGAGAACAGAAAAATATATTCTATAATTAGCCTATAGCAGGGGTGTCAAACTCAAGGCCTGGGGACCAGATCCGGCCCGCGGAATGCTTAGATCTGGCCCGTGGACCCACCCTGGAAACAGCAACGGACCGGCCCTCAGTGCCTCTGCCAGTGAAAAGGGAGCTTGGGAGCCCCTCCCTGGCCTCCCCAAACTCTGTTTTCGCTGGTAGAGGGCTACAGGAGGCCACTCTGACCAAACACAGACCCCGGGAGGGCTGACGTGGCCGAAAATAGAGTCTTGATGAGTGACATTGAGCGGGCCATTCCCATCCTGGCCATGCCCCACTCCCCCCCCCCCCAGGTCAAACCCAACCCTGATGCAGCCTTCAATGAAATTGAGTTTGACACCCATGGCTTATAGCAACCAGATAGTTCATATCTAGGCCAAAATAGGGCCCTTAGCTGTCAGTTGCTATAAAAGATATAGGATACTTTTTTTGTGGCCATTGGCTTCCCCAGTGATGATGGTGGGTAGGCTAAAGAATGCCCTTGTTCAGGAGAAAAAAACCTGAGTTCCACTCCTTTGATTCAAAGAGCAACTGCACCTTTTGTTAATTGTGTGATTCAAGCATGAGGGTCAAGAAGATAGCTCCAGCTCAGAAGGACTAAATATTGGTTCTTGCATTTTTGGAGGATGCAATCAATAAAACACTTAGTTATAGAGTATTTAAGTCTTGAGCTGTGATCCTACCCTCTGCTGGAAGCCAACTGCTATTTTTCTCATTTTGAGATTTTTTTACAAGCATTTCCCACCCATATCATTTGCATTCATAAATGCCAGGATTTTGTTTTATAAATGGAAATTCTTGAAAAAGTGAATTTGGTGTGCATTAACACATTTTGTCATTTTTACCCAATATACTAGGACTATGGCATATATCATGGAAATGATATGAGAAATGCTTGCAACCTCTCCCCTCCCCCCGGAGAAATAGCTTTGCGTGTTTGAAATTAATAACATGACTAATGTCTAAGCTTTTTACAAAATTTATTCAATACAGTCTTTTTTAGTTTTGGTTCAAATCCTGTCAGGTCCAGTGTAAACGTTTGTGAGAATATCTTCTAAGGAATTAGGAATTTGCACTCCTGTGGTTGAATTGTTCATATGCTACATTAAATTTTGTTTTGTAACAGAAGCCAAAATTACTGTCATCAGCCTCTAATTATGAAGACGATTGCGTTTCCCCACCTTTATCACCAGTGGATTCAGAGGAGATCAGAAAAGTCAGCAAAGCTCGTGCAAGATTGTTTAAAACTGTTTCCTGTGGAAATCTGCTTCCAGATAAACTATTTCTTCCCAATGACTGTAAGAATACTAATCCATAACTTTCTCTATAACACAAATCCCTTTTTAAAATAATGAAGGTAGCCTTTGAATATGAATCTAAATCTCACTCTTCTATCAATAAACATATTGCCGATTTAATCAATGCAACTCTACATGTATTTCCATCTTAGAAGTAAGTGCCATTTAATTTAGTGAGATTCACTCCCAAGTAATGATGCATATATGATATTATAATCTCCGTATATTTGTTTGAGCTTTAAATTAGATATCAGTCCATTATGCTTTCAGTCTAGTGAATGATCTTGCTAGAAAGGGATAAAGACAAGCCTCTTTAGGAGGTTTTGCACGGTTGAAATTTTATTGAATGTTTGTAACAAACACTTCAAACATTTATATTTCTTTCAAAAAAAATCTTTGATGTAAGGAAAACCAATCACCTGTATTCTTTATAAAGGTACATTATGTGCAGGCAGTCCTGGACTTAAGGACTGTTCAGAGTTATGACAGACTTTCCTGGAGGTATTTAAAACCCAGTTTTAAAGTTCTGATGGCAACTCTTCTCCCCTTCTCCCTCCCCAGTCACATGACCACATGTTGGGTGCTCTGCCCAAACTTACAGCCATTTGCAGCATCCCATGGTCATGTGACTGTTTTTTAACGATGTAGTTTTACTGAAAATCAGGATTTACTTTGTTTTTTGACAAAATCAGCCTATTGGTTCACTTAACAATGGCATCGTACATTTAATGACCACCACCAAAATTGAATCAGTCACTTGGATGGCCTGATTTTTGACTTTCGTGATTTATGGGCAGACTCCATTACAGTTGTCAGGTTGAGGACAACCAGTAGTTCTCTTCAAGCTGACAGCAAATACATGAACAACTGTATTTCTGAACAGATGTTGTTTTTCAGTCTCAAAAGCTATGTTTTACCTAGTGAGAATATTGCAAGTTTTGTTTAATGCAGGTAAGAGGCTGTATTTTGAAGAGCAATTTATTCCAAGGAGTGATCATGAAAGTTTTTCACAAAAGCTGCCTGTCCAGTTCAGCCTCAGGGATGCCTGTCTTCCACTAACTTATACAGACCACCATAATAAGACAGTAGGAGAAAATTTTCCCTCACAAATGAGAAACATACCATTTCCAGCACAATTCAGCAGGCAAAGGTCAGTATTTTTTTTTAACTTTACCATTTTCTCCACATATATTGTCCTGGAATAACATTCTCCCAGAGATTTGCATGACTCCCAACTTACCAGTTTAAATGTACTAAAAACACATTTCCATAGGCCTTTAGGTTAGAGTAAAACAGGGTCGGGGTGGGGTGTTATCTATTTTTATCTCTCTGGGTGGAGGTGAGAATTAGCTACTGTTTCTCCTGGATAACATGTACTTTGGAGTTTTATTTCAAATTTAACTTTTTTCCTGTGTAAAGTTGCCAAGGGTTGTAGAAGTTGGGTGGTCTAGAATTTGAAATATAAATAAATAGATAAATAATTTTATATCCAGCATCCTATACAAAAATGTCTCTAAGTTACTTTCAAATATACGATAAGAATTAAAAGCAATAAATTAAGAATAGTATTTTTAAAAAATGCTATACAGGAAAAACAAACAGGAAGAAAACTTCCTCCATATGGAAGAGGCCAAGATCAAGGGAAGGTATAATTATGGACAGATCAGGAATGTAAACAAACAAGTAGAAGTGGCTTTTAGACTCTTGTCAGTTAATGTCTGGATCAGTACGGTCGGGCCATCAAGATATCTAGTTCCAAGTTGGTTAGGTTCTTACATGTCAAAAGCAAAACTTTAAATTTTGCTTTACAAGCCAGTGTACTTATTTCAGCAGAACTACATACCCAATTGCTCCATTGTAGTTGCAGCTTTAGCTTCTGGCTCAGTTACAAGAGTAACCACATATAGAGCCGGTTATAGCCGTTTAAGTTCGAAATTATCAAAACAAGGACATGAATAGCTGTTGGTGTTCAGGAAAGGACAAACTAGTTGATATACCAATTGAAGCTGGCAATAGCTGCTGCCCCCTGCTCCCCAGCTTACACTGGGGTTACTTCAGGGTGTACAATTACAGTGTTGATTCTAGGACCTCTCGGATCTCTGTTCTTCCTGAGCGAATGCATAGGATTGAGGCCTGAGTGGCAGCTATATAATTTCGTTATATGCTTTAAAATAATTTGAATGCCATAGTGTGCAAAAAAGTCCAGAATGTCCCCAAATTTGTTTTTATTCATTGTATATAGAAACAATTAGTTCTTTGTACCCAAGTGAATAATTGGTTGCAAGAGGATTGGCATATACTCTTCTTTATAATTGCTAAGAGTGAACCTCTTGCAGATTGATAATAGTTAAATGTACTTATTTGTTTGTATACTTTTGTATTTTACATTTTAGAATTACATCAGTTTGTTGTAGTTATCTGTACCTAATCTAATTAAGCTCTTTCAACATATTTTCACCTTTCCTTGCTCTTTTTAAGTTACTTGTTTAAATGCCACAATTGTTTAAGCTTAATTCACTGACAGTATTAGTTGTACCAGTAAACTATAAAATCTTAGGTGCATGTCTTTTTAAATATAGAATTTATACCTGTAGATAGACTAGGTTAAATGATACATCTCTAATGTTAAATGTCTCTACTTCAGATAATATCCTTAGGTTATAACTAAAATAATTCATATAATGTTAGTGCCTTCTGCACACATGTTAGTTTTCTTCCCTATTGCTCCATACCCTACAATAACATTTGAGGCATTAATATTTAACCGATTCTAAGAACTATTTTACAACTTCATGGGTATGTAGGTGATAAATGTTGCTTATTTAAACAGTTCCCATGAAATACTAAGACAGTCCCTAATGAATGGTTTTAAATCAATTTAGAAATAAACATTTTAAAATTAAGAATTTTCTATAATAGATACGCATTATCCTCATTTCCAAACTTCCCTGAGATAAATCAAGGGCCTTTTTAATGAAAATGTTTTGCTTAAGGCTGACAAGTAGAATTGGAACTCCATGTAGGTTTTTCACTTTTCTATACATTTCAAAGTAAAACTGGAAAATGTCTTATTTGTGGAAAAAAAAAAAAAGGATCAGAGTTTAAAACTTTTTAAAGCTAATGTTAATACCTAAATGTTGCATTTATATCAACTGCTGATCAACTGGACTAATATTAGTGTTTATGGAATGTAAGGTTTCCATGTTTTGTTCTTTATCCCGTGCCGATTGTATCTGCTCAGACTTAGAAGCTCGTCAGTTTTTATGTTCAGTAATGATGACCTCTTGTGGTATGATTCTTTTACTGCAATACAGATAGATTAAATTTAAAACTCTGCATAAAAGTGTGTTAAATGCATTGTGTAAAAAAAATGAAACCAATGCATTTAATATTAAATTATTCATAAAAGAAGAAGCAGTTTCATTTCTGATATAAGGAAGTCTAAGAAGGTAGAAGTCTAAGAGGAGGTAAAATATTTTGTCTTTTAACCCATTTATATTTCCTATTAATTAAAAAAAAATACATGTGGCATATAGGATTGGGTATTGTTTTCACGACTTTGACCAGTGGATATAAATAAATGCTCAATTTCCTTTCCTCAGTTTATCCAGGGGGAGAGCAAACAGACTTCTCCTTTCCTTTCCAGCTGATCCCAAAACTGGTTGTGGTGAGACAATTTAGCTTGAGAAACAGGTGGTTTGGCCGCCCACTCATTCTCAGTGCTGTATCAACTCTTGGTAGAGTGTGCTAAAAACAAACCTCTTGGGAGCACTGATCATCTAATTGTGAGTTGCAGTTATCTGTAATGAGTGTTGCCATCCTCTGACCAAATTAGATTACAGGAGATTTCTTTGATTTGCAAGAGAAAACTCTTTAATCCAGGGGTGTCAAACCCTTGTCGTCATGTCATCATCACGTGATATATCACAACTTTTTTCCAGGAGGTGAGCGTGGCCAGCACATGACACATCTGACCCACAGGCCGCGAGTTTGACACCCCTACCTTAATCTATCACAAAGTTATTAAATTACTTGCAGCAGTTGGTCACAGCAGTTGATTAAAAGTTATGATAAATAATTTGTATAAATGGAATAAAAGATATTGATGAATATCCCTGCTCAATTTGTTTAGCAATTGGCATATGAGAGGAAGAGTGTGTGTGCAATTTTGGTTCCTGAGGAAATCCAAATTGTTTGGATGCAGAGAGATCTAGTAGCATAGTTTGTGGCAAGATCATCAATGTTAAAAAGAGCTCTCTACTTAGTAAAATGCATTCCCAGTTTAGTGGATGAAAGGTCAGAGTAAATATTATACATGTATTCATAATTTTGATAGCTTTTGGCATTTTTTTAAATTACTGCTAATTTCCCCCCCTTTTTAGTGACCAGTTTAATAGACAAGAGTCTCCTTTATCATATCCAGACTATACTGAAATGACTAAATCTGCAACTAAATCAGGTACATGTCACATACTTAGCCCATATATAATTTTTCATTGTAATGTAATGATAAGTGAATGAGCCTTGGCAAGCCAGAGCAAAGCTTCAGTCTTCAGTACTCTTCCCATGTGTCCAAAAGGAAAGAAATAGAATTTGACTTAACCTAATTGTTCACAAGTCCTGGTTTGTCATAACATACAAAGCAGGAATTATGTTGTTAAGCATTTGATAAAATAAAACTAAATGTTAATTTAATTACATTTAATTTTGGCTTGCTCAAGCTCATTTGTGTTGGATATCTTAAGTTAGATATCTTGACTCCTGGAGATTCTATTGACAATTACCCTCCATCGTGTGATGTGTTCCTGGTGTCGATCCACAGGTATTGTTTGGACATTCCAGGGTTATCTCTGATTTCATCTATCTACTTTGCCTTCCTATCTTCTACATCTCTCAACTTTACCAATTTAGTAATTTTATCTAGTTTCATCCTCATTTCATCCTCAGCTATCATTGCATGCCCAAGATTGAGTTTCTACTTGGTAATTATTGCCTCAGTGGAATAGTCTGTCAGTCTTTCTTCCAGCATGGATTGATTGGGTTTTCCTTAGTCTGGGATATTCTTCATATCTTTGAATCAGATGTCTACCTTTTTCATTATTTTTTTACTTCTAAGAGACTGATTTTATTTAATTTATTTAAATGTTTAATTATTCTTTAATTATTTAATTATTCTGCTATGTGTTGGCATAAAAATATACATAGTTGTCATGATGTTTTATAAAAGTGCCATTGCTTTTTCCTAGAAATAGTCTCTTTATTTCTTTAGCATATTGCTCAGCTCAGGAAAACAATTATATACTACGTTCAATATTTACATTCAGTTACGAAAGCTAAGCATACTGGTTAACATTGCTTTTGTGAATATTTTACATTAATACAGATTTTTACCTTCCAGTGTATGCTTTCCTAGTTAAGTTTTAAAAATCTTATTTATTTTTAGTTTTGTGGGTGTCATTCACAAAAATCCAGCTGCTAGTGCTTTAGCGTCCAGTTTGAATTTAGTGTGGCCAGCCAGTTTGATGTAGTGGTTAAGGTGCTGGCCTAGAAACAAGGAGACTGGGAGTTCTAGTTCTAGGCATGAAAACCTGCTGGGTGACTTTGGGCCAGTCGCTCTCTCTTAACCCAACCCATTTCTCAGGTTTATTGTTGTGAGAAAAATAGGAGGAGAAAGGACTCTTAGGTATGTTTGAAGCTGTGAATTATAATAAAGGTGGGATAACAATTTAATAAATAAACATCCCCCCAAAATTTCCCAGTCATAGAATGATGTTGGCTCCTTGATATTTTGGACAGTTAAAGGTGCTGGATGAGTGCTGCACATGTAATAAAGACTAACATAAATAAGATTTTATTCTTCGATCATACTTTTTCAAGTGAAGTTTTTTCATGAAGCTGAAAGCTTATGATTCACTAGACATTTTTTGTATAATGTTTATATTTCTTCTGGTTTAGATATCTTTGTTTGTGAGAGTCCAAGGTAAACAAAAAATAATATATGATGGTACGTCATGTACAAATTATTGGAAGGTTGATCCTTAGATTTTTATTTGCCCTGTGAAATTGGCAGACATGGGATGAAAAACGAGGTGCTTGAAGCTTGGAGACAGTTTTTAATTAAAAAGATGGTTTAATTCTGCAAATTGATTGCATAATTATTGGGCAAAGCATTGGAATTAATCTAGCAGTGGGAGATTATATTGATTAGAATGAATAAGCTTGCTTAAAATTTATCACAGAATAGAATCAATCTTTGTTATATTGCAATATGATGAGAATTGTACACAGGATTGCAATCACCCAGTGGTTTATCTGTGGAGGACTTAGAAACCATGGTGTTATAAAAATTCTAGTTCTTAGTTGAGAAATTATATCAAAATGATATTGGGGATTTGTATTTCATTCCACTCCATTAAACAACATAATATCATGAAGTTCCATTGTATCCCTCATGTTTGTCGACATCTACCTAAAACCCTTAAGATTAATCATCCAGAAATTTGGATGTACAAAGTATCATTAGTTATCATCCCTAGTGTCTAGAGATGGAGAAAGTGGCTAAAATGAGACTTAAATTGGCTCCAGATGCAGCTATATAGAATCTGGGATCCCAGCGCTAGTATAGTCAAGGAAAACTTTGAGTATGTCTTACATGTCCCTTCTAGGAATTGCTACCACCAATTATAACGTTAATATGACTTAAGGAGAAAATTATTAAATGCACAAGGACTGCTATACATCAGCCTGCTTTTACAGTTCATAAATTTCACTTGGTCAGATGAGATGGTCAAATGTAGAAAATTAAGCTATCAGTGCTGGCTACTGGTGCATTTCTAGTCCCAATTAAAACCAATGGTTCATATTTGAAGCAATAAACAGTTTAGACCAAGCAGGTTATTCTATTGCTTTCCAGGTCCCTGTTATTCCATCAGGAGCTTGTATATTTGTATATGGCAATTTTTGTCCTTAGGGGATGTATTGGGGTGAGACAAGCCAATGGCTTGAAGTCATCCAGTTTGTTTCCATGGCGGAAGTAGACTTGAAGTAGTTTCCCCAGTTCTGCTCCAAAATTGAAATCATTTCTCCAGAGGTCTTCATATAATCTGTTAGTTAAAAAAGGATTTCCCAGAAATTCCTCCTGCCTACCTCTCAAACAGATACAGAGTGATAAGACAGCTTGAGCACAAAAACAGGCGGGGTTGGGGAGGCTTTTTAATATAGCTGTTCCTTACTGTTATATCACAGAAAAATTGCTATGGACTCTCTTTTTTATTTGCCTTTAGTCTTTTGTGGAACCCTGGGGTTTGAAGAAACTTGCATTATACCATCATGATCCTGTTGTTTTATTAGCAACAATTACATTTATGTTGTAGAATCTGCCAGGTTGTCTTTTATTACTAATTTCATTAATGTTTGTTTTTCACTGAATTGAACTTTATTATCTAAGAGTGGTCTCCCCACCCCCACACATGTGCTTTTATTCTTAAATTGCTTACTTGGGGGTTATGGGAAACCATAAGCACGAGCATTTTACTACCTTCCCTTTTATGTTCCTCATATCCGTTAGCACTCACTGCTTTTTAGTAAACTCTTTCCCCACCTGTACATGATATGGTTATGTTGTATTACCAAATTTGGACTGTCTTCTAACTCTAAAAACACTAGTTGGAAGAAGTCGGGTAGGAGCCAATTATTTTTTCTGTCTTGCATTGAAATGTCTTGTTAGTCACAAGTCAGAGAAGAGAAGCAATAAAGCGCTTCGTCCAGCAGAACCTGTTTGTCTTTCCCCCCAAAAAATCATGCTGAACCCCGCTTGACAGAATTCTAATTGGGCTGGCAGTGATCGTGAGATAATGGCTTTGCCCATTGTTGTAGATGGCCCGAGTTGGTAGAAGTAAGCATTTACAGGTAGTCCTCAACTTACAATAGTTCATATAATGACTGTTCAAAGTTACAACGGCACTGAAAAAAATGACTTATGACTGTTTTTCATAGTTACAACCTTTGCAGCATCCCCACAGTCATGTGATGAGAGAGAGAGAGAAGTATTGATTTTCCTTATTCTGTCAGTAGCTTTTGATGCTATTGGTTTTGTGTGTGTCTCTGTGTGTGTGTTTATAGCACTTGAGGGAATTGGGAATGGAAGGTATCACGGTTACCTTTCTATATTGTTTCAGAAGGTGGGAACTCTGAAAGTTGGTACCATTTCCCATATTATCTAATATCCAATTTGTGGGGTACCTGACAGAGGTCTCCAACCTTGGCAACTTTAAGACTTGTGGACTTCAATTCCCAGAATTCTCCAGCCAGCATAGCTGGCTGGAGAATTCTGGGAGTTGAAGTCCACAAGTCTTAAAGTTGCCAAGGTTGGAGACCTCTGGGGTACCAGATAAAGTGACAAATATGTTCTCTGTTGACATTTGAGTTAGACTGTATCAAGTGAATCACAATCTGGCTATAACCAGTGGCTTTTATGTTTTCTCATTTTCACTCTCCCTAGAACACGCCCAGAACATACTGTGCATTTTCTAGGAATGTCTCTGGACTAAACTCGTGTGGAATGGACTAGTTGATACAACCTGTTCCAAACACAGGAATGTGCATGGAATATTTTGCACATCAATGTAATTTTGTTTCCCATGTAATTTTTATTATTTATTACATGTGAATTTCAAGAAGATTGATATTGGCACTCTGCTATGTTTCTTACCAATTTGGAAAGAAGGAATGGAAGAGGTTTTAAGCCATACTGAGCCACCCATAAAAATGAGTGCCATTTGTGTGTTTGTGTATGTGCACGCATGCATACACATGTAATTTGATTATACAAAAGAAAATAGAGATTGGTTTTGTGAACATAACAGCCGAGAGATTGGTTTTGTGAACATAACAGCCCAGATCATGTTTGGCAAGGCTAAACTCTCCAGATTGATCTTTTGTGTGTTTACAGGCACTTTGCAGTGCCTGAGCTTTTTGTGCTTTTGCTAAAGAAAGATTTCTATGAACTAAAAAAAAAATGTTAATTTATTCAAGTGGAAAACTAGCAAGTTACAGTAGTACTTATTAGAATTGTAATGATTCTCTCCTGTGTAGTAGTTAGATTTTTAAGATAACTAACATTGAGTTATGTGAAACTCATTGTTGCTAAGGCTCTTGGATTTTACATGCTAAAAACAGCAGCCAATAAATGTAGACCAGTGTCATTTTTGTGACCAGCATACAAAGCTGTGGTTATACCAATAAACCACAGAGAGAAGGAACTTCTGAACTTGTCTGCCTTTGCTTAAGCTTCCTGTTTTTCTTCTTTTTATTATTGAGACTGTTGAAGTTAGATTACTAAGACATTTCTGTTGAAATATTTATGTTTTACCTGATTGGTACATACTGTTATAGAACAAATTACAGTCTTATTAAATGTTTTGCCATAAGTTTTGTTGTGTAACTATTTGAAAATCATTGTTAATATATCTCTTCAATAATATATGTTTCAGAAAATAATTTGGAAACAAATGAAATGGAAGAAGAGGAAGAAGAAGAAAGCTATTGGAAAATAAAAGTTTTACCAATTTTACATATATTACAGATTGGTAAATAATATAGTTCTGTAAAAATTATTTGGATTTCATAAACTAGACTTTTCAAGGCTTCATTCTGTTTATTAGTTCTAATAATATTTTTCCGATTATCAATTTTAAACAGTCCCATTGCTGCCAAGATAGCCTATATTCCTGCTCTTAGTTTAGACTGGGGGCAAAGTGGAATGGAGATATAAAGATGTATTTGCAAGGTTTAAAAGTCCGTTGAGAATGCATACGATAAGCATTCAAAGAGGCTGTAAATATTAATGACATGTACTAGAAGTAGGCTACCTGATGTTTTGAATGACAAATCCCATATTAGGAGTTAAAAGACCAAAATATAGACACCACCATATTTGTAGGTATTTTTTTAAAAAATCATAAATACACACTTAATTCTGTGCTTCAGTTTTCATGTCTTAGCATTGTATATTGTGCTTGCTTAGATTAGTGCTTAAGAATCAGGTAGGGGAGCTCAAGATCTGCAGAAGGCTTTCAGTGGCATATTTGAGGCCACGTTTCAAAAATAAGTAGAGCCATGGAAATGGTTTTGGGAATGTTAAGGGTGAAACAAATGCCCTAAACATCTGTCAAGTGTAATATATTCATTTCACTCCTTCAGTTCCCTCATCTTAACATCAGTGCCAAGAAGCCCCATATTTTTGATCCCATATTTCTGAAAGAACTTTATTGCCTATGAAAAGGGTGCTAGCAGGTTACACATGACCCTAGTCTGGTGTCTAGTTGCCTCTAGTTGAAGACAAATGCATGCTCTTTCTGGGAAAGGTAAGGATAGTCACATAAACATCTATTAGAATGATACTGGCCAAAAGCTATTTATATAGTTTTTACTCCAGGATCATTTTAAAGAGGAGTACTGAAAGGAACTTTCCATTTGAGTCCATAAAATTTAAAATAGCTGTGTTTGTTGATAGTGCAGGTTTTGTGGTATTTGTTTAAAAAAGGTTCCTTTCTTCCTCTTTAAAATATTTGATCACTAATTTTACTTTCTGTTTTTCTGTCCCAAATCAAATAGAAAACAATGCAGAAAGACTTTGTGATGCCTGTGCTATTCTTTATCAAACTTTGGAAGAAGGAAATATGCTTGGCAAGCGATTCAAGAAGCGAAATTTGCTATTGAAAGTGTTATATAAATTAGTTGATGTTACTTCAGATCCTCTTGGCTTGAAATTAGCAAAAATCATTTTGGGTGTAAGTTAAATATGTCATACCTGTTACAGAATGTGATTACATGATACTTGTATGAAAGTGGTAGTTATATCCTGAGAAATACAACTAAACTTTAACCACTAAATCTATTTTTCACAAGAAGTTGCAGAATTCAACTTTGCACTGTTTAAAATTACACTTAATTTTCTTTGGTTCTATTGTTTGATTTACTTAAAATCTAGGAGATTAACAGTGCAATGATTCCTTTGGCTACTTAGAAGTGAATTTACTTCCAAGTAAATAAATATAGAATTTCAGCCCAAGTGATAGCACACAATAGTACTGTGTTTCTCATATAATAAGGCCGGGTCTTATTTTTTTTTGAGCCCCGAAAAAATGGCTAGGCCGTCTTTTCAGGGGTGACTTAAGCCCCCCCCCCTTTGCATCTTCGGGCGGGTAGCGACGGCTTGGATGTTGACCTCGGCGTTGGTGGGCACTTCGTATCAGGGTCAACGCAGGCAGCACCATATCCGGGTGTGCAACAAAAGTACTTCCTAACGGCAAGCCCCCCCACCATTCCCCCCATTTCGCATGTTTTAATATAGGCCTTAATTTGGGGGGAGGGGCTTAATTTCATTTCATGCCTATAAAACATGCTGGGACTTCCTATTGGGGGAGGCCGTATTGTTGGAGAAACAGGGTAGATAAAAATACCTTGTGTTTACTCTAGTCAAATTTTTTGAACTAAATTGTATGCCAAAAAGCAGCTACACTTTGTGTACACTTTAAAGGCATAACAACAAATACATTCGCTTAAATATGTTTACTTGAATCCTAGAATAAGTCATAAACCACATTCCCTGACTTCTTACTTGATTGGTTGAATATCAAAGGGATAGATAGCAGAAGAAACTCAAGAGGAAACAAATATTATTACAGTGTATGGTATCTCTCCTAAACCATTCAAAACTTTATATAAAATTTTTACAAAATGCTGGCAACAGTTACTATCATATCATGCTCGTGTAATTTGTGATATACTATTTAATTCATTTGAAAGTATGTTTGTCATAATTGTAACTGAGACATTTGCCAGGCCCTTCTAATCATCACCTAGTAACTATGCAATAATTTATAAGAACTTGTTGCTAGGTTTTTAACAATTTCCTGCTTTCAACTATTTCTCCATTCAGACATTCAGAATGGTATGCTGGATTCAAGTGAAGGGAAAATCTATTCATCAAGGAAATTCAGATTGTCTATATGTGTATGGGTTTGCAATATATCTGTGTGAATAACAATGATTACATTTTTCTTCCTATGATGATGTGTCTAAAGCAGAACTATTTCAGTTAGAATTACCCAAATGAATTATAACATGGGAAACTGGTTAAATGTCATTAGATTAACCAGCATCTTGCAGATAGTTTTATAATCACATTCCAGTATGTTGGATGTAACAGGAAGCACTATTTTATGTGGTGTAGTATTGAATGCTGCAGTTGGTGTATAAATGGAGGACATTTCCTAAGATTGTATTGAAATCCCTACCCCCCCCCCGCCCCCCACTTTCTTGTAGATTTTTCCATGTCCAATAATCTTGGATCAGATAAATGGCTGTTATATGTTGATCATTTGATATGGGAGCTCTTATCTGAGTATTTGTTTCAGAATACCTTGGAAGGGGCTATGATAAGGCTGCAAATATTTCTAGTTTCAGTTAAGTGCAGCATGTACATCTGTGGTGGTATTTGACCGGTTCTGTCCAGTTCTGGAGAGCCGGTAGGAGCGATGAGCAGTGGAGACCAAACGGGTTCTCTCTGCTGTTCTAATGGCTCTGCTGTTGGGCCCACCCACCCGCCCTGATTCCCATACTCATTTTTATCCGCTGAATTTGAAGTGCAGCTGCTTTGCGCAGCACAGAATAGTGCCTCACGGCAGCTGCTGAAGCAACCGGGAGATTGTGCAGACTTGCAGGAGGCAAGGTAGAATGCCTTTGTGCCTGCGCAAATGCCCCTGTGCAAAGTGCACGTTTGGCGCACGCGTGCATGCAAAGTGTGCATGCGCACAAAGCGCGCCCACCAAACCACACGCATTGAAGCGGTGGCAACAATATTTGAATCCCACCACTGATATACGTACAGGTAGTCCTTGACTTACCAGCACAATTGAACCCAACATTTCTGTGACTAAGCAAGACCAGGGTTAAGTGAATGATGCTCGTTGTTCTTGCTTCCTTCCTGCCCTTTCACTTGAGTTTTGCTCCATTTTACGATCTTTCTTGCCACACGTGTTAAGTGAATCACTGCAGTTACTCAGTTAATAACACAGTTGTTAAGGGAATCTGGCTTCCCCATTGACTTTGCTTGTGAAAAGGTCACAAAAGGTGATCCCATGACTTGGGACACAACAGAAATATGTAACAGTTGCCAAGCATCCAAATTTTGATCACAGGACCATAGGGATGCTGTAGCGGTAAGTGTGAAAAATGGTACCAAGTCACTTTTTCCAAAGGGTTGTAACTTCAAATGGTCACGAAATAAATGGTTGTAAGAGGAGGGCTACCTGTAATATGAGAAACTGTGTGGCATATCTGCTCTTAAAAGAACAGCTAAAACATAAGGTATAGTTATTTACTACATATTCTCTTTTTTCATTCTTCCTTATAGCTGAAAGTGAGTGGGAAGAATCTGCTTAATGTTTGCAAATTAGTATTTAAAATCAGCAGAAGTGAAAAAAACGATTCCCTTATTGAGAATGACCAAATACTGGGTAGGTAAATATGCTATTCTGTGACTCAGTAGAATGTCTTTTATAATGTGGAAAAGATGATATACTCGTTGTTATGTGTGTGGGAATATGAAACTGCCAAATGTTTCAGTATAACTATGATTTCAACCTGAATTTTGGTGTTAATTTTTTCTGTTTCTGATTTTGACTAAACGTGTTAATGTTTTTGAAGCTAATGAAGATAATATTACATAATCAGAAATACAAATATTACTGGGTAGAAATGAGACATAAAATTGCAGCTGGAATCCAAGAAAAATATAGAAAGAGAAATGAAAACTAATCATCAGAGTTGTTCTTTGATCTCTGTTTCATCATGGAATCTAAGTAACGTATTCCAAAAACCAATTAGAAAGAAATTGTTTGACCCCTTCTCCCTTCCCACCTAATTTGGCTAAATCACATATTTTTTCTGCATCAAAGGATGTAAGACATATTTAAATGGTGAATGGGAGGAAATTTAAGTTATAATCCTAATTTGCATGAGACATTAATATTGCACACAATTCTTTCATCTGGATTTTTGAGGCAAGAAAATGGTAACACTTTGGATTAGATGATTGTTAACCAGACTTTTAAATGATATTTTAGTTAATTAGACTGTTGAATGTATTGCAACATGCATTTCACTTTCCTAACATTGCTAACTATTTTTATCTTTCAAAACTCCTAAACTGTTGTCATAATTGAAAATTTAGAACTTGCAGGCAACTTGGGACAAAGTATCGAAATAGTTTCATCTACCAAACAGTGGGCTAGAATTTAAAAGAGAATTGTATCCTGTCATCTTAATATGTGATTAATTCAAGGGAATACTTTTGTGTTTATAGGGTAATCTAAAGGATGTTTACAAGCATTGAGTATCAATATTTATTTATATCTTGGAAGTACAGGTGGTCCTTGACTTATGGCCACAATTGAGCCCAATATTTCTTTTGTTAAGTGAGACATTCGTTAAGTGAGTTTGCCCCATTTTACAACCTTTCCTACCACAGTTGTTAAGTCAATCTGGATTCTCCATTGACTTTGCTTGTCAGATGGTTGCAAAAGAGGGATCACATGACCTCAGGACGCTGCAACCGTCATAAATATGAGTCATCTGAATTTTGATCACATGATGCTGCAATGGTTGTAAGTGTGAAAAACGGTCATTATTGACTTTTTTCAGTGCCGTTGTAACTTTAAATGGTCACTAAATGAATTGTAAGTCGAGAACTGACATGTATAAAATTATAAAATGAAACATATGTTTGAAACATTTTCTATAATTACATAATTTAGTTTAATAGTCATAAGATTCATATGATGCTTGGAAGAGTAATATAAATATATTGTACTATTAAGGTAATTATATACTGAAAATTTGGAATGTATTGGAATATAAAGAACTCTGAATTAACGTGTGTATGTTCTGTAGCTAAAAAGATGTCTGTTAGAAAGATTCTGATACATCTGATTTCAAATGCTAGAATGAAAATAAGTGTTAGTAACAGAAAGCGTGGTCAATATTACTCCACGTGGTCAACGTTTCTAATTTAGGGCCTGAGTCTCTCTCTCATTTTTTTTTTTTAATAAAATTTTATTTGGGTTTTCACACATACAAAATACAAATAAAACGTCTTTTTTGAAAATAGCATGGTCCCAGGTTGAACTTCTTTATACAGACACAAAACTCAATTTCATGCTCCTTTTTGTATTCTATTCCATATCTTATACTATTTTACATTTTCTATATAGTTTTTCCCCTCTTTTAATTTTCTCAATTTTATTTTGATTATCTCATCTCAATTCAAATCATTATATTTATACTTTTGTCTGTTCTGTTTCAATTTCATATTATCTTTTCTCATTAAACAAATTTTCTCCTGTAGTTACTAATTGGAGTATGACACCTTTATATCTTTTAATTACATCCATTCAACTCTTATTTAAACTTCAATATATACCTTAAGGTTATGACCTTCAATATAATACATAATACATAACTTCCAATCGAATTCTGCTTGGTACATTCTTATAATACGCACTATATTCTTTAAAAAAAAAGGATTATAAATATATGTAATTATAAACCCTCATTCCAATCCAATTCAGTTCTATCAATAATCATTAAAATCTTAACATCTTTAACACTTCTTTTCAATTAAATATCATACTTCCTTAAAGACACATATAATCTCCATAATTAATTTTTCCCTTATTTCTCTTCACATATGTTTTGGAAATCATTAGATATTCATTTTTTTACATTTATTTATTGACAAGCATTCCACTGAATTACGATAGCTATTTTATCAAACATTTTAATAATACATTGTTTCATATTTTCTAAAATTATTTCTGTTTCTAATATAACAATACCATCTTATGTACCTTTGCAGAATCCCCTTTTCCATTAAATTTTCACCCATTGTCTCTAAATAGGCCGTTTCTCTATATTTTGTTTCTGTCCTTTATAACTTCTTCTCCATCCCCTTTTTACCCCCTTGTCTCTCTACTCCTAATTCTCTCTTCTGCATTTCCCTCTTCTGTTGCTTTCTGATTTTATACTTATTTTTCACTCTATTTTTTTTTTTTTTGGAGTTGTTTTTCCCAATCTTAAGCTCTCCATTCTCTTTCCCCCCTTTCCTTTTTCCCCCCACCTGATTACTTGTTCATTAAAGATGGCTTCTTCTTTGTCGCAATCTTCTTGTTCTGCAGGAATTTCTTGTTGTTTCTCATAATTCCAAATCTCCATTTCTAAAAACTGAAATACGAAGCCAAAAGAACGTCTCCCTTCTTGTGCATCTTCCTTGTACTTTTTAAGTTCCATTTTCAGTTCTTCTAAAAGTGGAGCCATTTTAAAAGTTTTAAACAACCACCCGATTGATTTTAGTCATTCAAATAAAATAACCAAAAATCCAGAAATCATCAAGTAATCCAAATAGTCCCAAGTTATTTCTTCTTATTTTTCCACTTTCTCTTCCTGGGGTTTTTGTTGCGATATTTCAGTTAAAATGTATCTTTTGGAAGTCTTGTTGAGATTTTGCTGTAAGTTCTTTTTAATTCCAGGCAGTCTCCTCCCTTCCAGATCCTGTCCTTTTATTCTTTTTCTCTCCTTTCCTGTTTTCAAAAGCTTTTGATTATCCAGAAATCTTTATTATCCCTTTGACCTTTTATTTTCAGCATTAAATGCCTATTAATGTCAAAGTGGACTTTTTTCCAATTTCTTGCTTAAGTCTCTTAGCTGTCAGTATAGGAAAAGGAGAAAAAAAAACCCAAATCTTTTCCCTTTTCTCTCTCCTTCGCAGCTTAAAAATTTTCTTTTTTTTTAAATTAATAAAAGTTTTATTGATTTTAACAACAAATAAAAACACATAAAACATAAAACATAACATAAGAACATCATCATTCTTCATAAATTTACAGACAGTGTATCGGTTGGTTTACCACTCCTTTCTGTGCATCCATTTCGTAGTCATCATAATAATTATGCTACATAATAACTCATATTATCAATCAACAATTATATATCCTAATATCATTATTAAACAATCATTTGACTATAATTTTACTAATTCATACTTAATTGAGATAACTATAATTTAGTTAATTTATTTTATAACAAATTGTAAAATCATACCAAATCTATCTTAATAAAATATTCTAAAAATATTATCAAAACCAAATATATATATATATTCATTGTTTCCTAGGTTTCTAAATATTCTATTATTATATTGTTTTATCTAACCATTGATAAAAAAGATCCCAAACTTCATAAAATTGTTTATCTTCTTGTTCTCTAATTTCAAATGTCAATCTACTCATTTCAGCACATTCCAGTATTTTCTTAATAATTTCTTCCTCTACTGGTATTTTCTCACTCTTCCAATTTTTAGCAAATACAATCCTAGCCGCTGTTAACACATTTACAATCAAATACTTTAAGTTTTTATTGAATGTATCAGGTAAGATTCCCAATAGAAAAATCTCCGGTTTCAAATCTATATGTTCTTTTGTCATTTCTTCCAACCATATGCGAATTCTAGTCCAGTATTTCCTGGCCTCCTCACAAGTCCACCACATATGGTAATATGAGCCAGGGATCTGATGACATTTCCAGCACTTTTCAGATTTGTTCTTGAACATTCTTGCTATTCTTGTCGGGGGGAAATGCCACCTGTAAAACATCTTATACACATTTTCTTTATATGCTACTGACATTGTCATTTTATAATTTTGAGACCACAATTTTTGCCATTTCTCTAAATCAATCCCATATCCAAAATTCTTCCCCCAAACAATCATTGTTTCTTTGACTTGTTCTTCCTCTAATTTAATTTCCAACAAATAACTATATAGTTGTTTAATCACTTTTTCATCAGAACCTTGAGTGTATTTGCGCATATGAAAACCAATTCATCTTTATATCTTGTTCTTCTAGCTTTTGCATCGTTTTAAGTTCACCCTTTTCATCCAGTATTTCCCCATATCTAACTGTTTGTTCCTTCTTATAAATTATGGGATAGGAAAAAGCTTCAATAGTTGATAACCAAACTGGAATTTTCAAATAACATTGTTTCTTAATTTTCTCCCAATTCAACCATAACGATTCCCGTATATAATGCCTTCTGAAATAACCCTGCAATTTAGTTCCCTTATACCATAAAAAGGCATGCCAACCCAATAATAAGTCATGTCCTTCCAATGCCAGTAATCTAGACTTTCTTAACGTTATCCATTCTTTAACCCACATTAAATTTGCAGCTTGATAATACAACTCCCAATTAGGAAGGCCAAATCCTCCTCTAGTTCTAGCATCCTGTAAAAGTTTTAGTTTTATTCTCGCTTTCTTACCTTGCCATATATACTTCAACACCATTTTATTTAATTCATCAAAATAATCTTTACCAAGCCTAATTGGTATTGTTTGAAACAAATATAAAATTCTGGGTAAAATATTCATTTTAATTGTTGAAATTCTACCTATCAACGATAATTGTAGGTTTTCCCATTTTTTCAAGTCAGATGCTATCTGCTGTTTAAGTTTAATATAGTTATTCTCTTTCAGTGTAGTACATCTTGACGTCAAAAATATCCCCAAGTATTTAACTTTACTCGTAACTTGAATTTTCAATAGGTCTGCCAACTCTTCTCTTTGCCTTAATAACATATTTTTTGTCAGAATCTTTGTTTTGTCTTTATTTATTTTCAAGCCAGCCATCTCACCATACGTCTCTATCTTTTCCAGTAATTTTAAAGCTGTCTCTAGAGGGTCTTCCAGAATAAAGACCAAATCGTCCACAAAGGCTTGCAATTTAAATTCCTCCTTTTTAACTTTCATTCCTTTTATATTTGTATCCTCTCTAATATTTCTATTTAACACTTCCAAAGTCAATACAAATAACAAAGGGGATAGTGGACATCCTTGTCTTGTGCCTTTTTAAATATTGATAGAGTCTGTAAATTCTCCCTCTATCATCACTTTTGCTGTTTGCTTATAGTATATAGCTTCTATTGCTTGAATAAATTTTCTAGCAAAACCCATCTGTTCCAATAATAATAACATAAATCTCCAATTCACATTATCAAATGCCTTTTGAGCATCTAAAAATATCAAAGCCATTTGTTTTTCAGGGTGTGCCTCATAATATTCCAACGTGTCCAAAATTACTCTCATGTTGTCTTTAATTTGTCTCTTTGGTAGAAATCCATTCTGATCAGGATGAATAAAATTATTTAGGTATTTTTTAAGCCTTTCTGCCAAAATTGAAGCAAATATTTTGTAATCTGCATTCAATAAAGAAATAGGTCTATAGTTCTTAATTTGTGATGGGTCAGCCCCTTCTTTTGGGATAAGCGTAATATAAGCTTAAAAATCTTCTTAGGGAACAATGTTATTGGTTTTTTTTTAAATAGTTTCAATTCCAGGGTACCTTATTTGTTGCTTTTGCTGTTTGACCCGGTCAACCAAAACTTTCTCTTCTTATCTTCCTCCTGCACATTCTTTTCCGGTCGAGTTCTTCTTTGTGGTGGCCATTTCTGACCACCACTACAACCGCCTTCGGGAAAGGGAGTAATGGCCAGCTGGGGAGGAGAGATGCGGCTCTCCTCAACCCTGCAGGCAGTCTCTCTCTTCTTCACCACCTCTACGGGGTGGCTTAGCCCCGAAACCAGCCGGCTCGGGGTGCTCCAGCAGTGAACACGGATCGAAGCCTTGCAGAAACGAGGTTTCGGTCTGTCGCCGAAGAAGCTCAAACCAGAAGGGATCCGTCTCTCTCATTCTATGTGTGTATTTATGTGTGTGTTATTTTTTTCTCTTTATTTTTAAATTAAAGTAAGATAGTTGAATCAAAAAGTAAAAACTGTGCATAGCTGGGTATTACTATCAGAAAGATAAGATACTTTCATCCTGAAATAAGACACACATGATTAGTACCTACTAATAATCAGAAATAATTCACCTCTAATTATTTTTATTATTGTGACCAAGACTTTTCATTATATGCAACTTCCATTTAAGAAAATTAAAATTGTGTGCTGATTTCCTTTTTAAAAATGGACCGTCTTGCAATCACTGAGGGCTGTATTTGCAAAAAGGAAATTTCCATTGCTTTGCTCTCATCAAAAATGTTCCTGGGCTTGGGAGAATGTTCAATCCAGGCCTTGGATTTGGAATATGCTAACATAGTTTCAATGGGGGAAAAATAGCCAGAAATAGCTTGTATAAATGTAAGCTCCACTATTGCAATTTCCTTCTCTTTAACAAATCTCCTCAGCTTTTTCTCTTCCTTATCCCTTATCTGAATTATTGGGATGGCAGCTAGTAAATTAATCTTGAGCAACTGTCTTTGCAGTCCCATTGAATGCTTTTATTTCAAAGTACTATAAATAAATAACAGTGCAGAATTATTTATTTGATCCATTTTATATTGATTGCTATATTACAAATTCTATGGTAAGTTTCTGTACAATAATCAGTAATTAATTAATTTGGAAACTTTATATGGCTGCCCAACTCATTCATGGTCACTCAGTGGCAGCTTAGTTAGAGAAGTTATTATTAATTTATTTGACAGTTCCTTTTAAAAAAGAGGGGGCTTGGATGAAGTAAACCTCATTCTGCGGGAGCAAAAAAATTGCACTAGAGATGAAGATTCACATCATGTAATTTTTTTACTATAGATTCTCTGCTTGAGATTCTGAGAACAGAAGACTTGCAAACAAACACTGAAGCTTTTCTTTATTGCACTGGTGCTATAAAATTTATTTCTGGCAATGGGAGCCTCATTAATGAAATGGTCAACAAGGGAGCTATTGAAATCCTGCTGCAAGTAATGAGAATGATTAATGAAATTAATGAAGATGATACTCGATTTTCCAGTTCAGGACATCTCTTGGTCCAGGTCAGAATTAGATTTTTATTTCAATTATTCACTTATTTCAATTTATTTCAACAAAAAAGGTTCAAACTTTCTAATAGTGTTCCCTGGTTTGACTCTTGGAGGACTGTCCACGTTTTTTTTTCTTAACAGTATTGTGGAAGTGGTTTGTTACTACTTTTATTCTGAGATGTTTTCCAAATTTTCAGTCTAGTCAACTATATTATTTCAGTTCTAACCTTGTGCTACCCTGGTGAGCTTTTCTGAATTAGCTAAAGCAATCTAAGGTGCAGCAGGCGCTTTAACTTAATAGTTCTAGATCTATAATACAGGTGTCAAACTCGCTGTCACATTGCTGTTACGTGACGTTTCATGATGTTTGTTCTCCCACGAGCTGTTCAGAGCATCCAGTAGTGGGAGGTGCTTCAGTCTCTGCTTGTCTAGGCTGGGCTTAATTTGCGGAATGCTCCTCCTCCTCCACGGGACTCCTCCCCAACGTTCCCCAGTTTTTGGCTCAGCCTCTTGAGAGATAGGCAGTGCTTTTCATTACTCCTTGGCCGAAACAGGAGAATTCTTGTTCAGGTTTGAAGACAGTCAATTTCATCTTTCAGGTTCTTCTAACAATTGCTCATCAATCTACCGACGCTGCCTTTGACACCTGGCCGTCGGGGATCGCATTATCAGGAAGCGCTTCTTGCACTCCTAAGCGCAGGGAGGCTTCGGTTTCGTTCCGCCCTCCCCCACTAGCCCTACCCTTGCCATAGCGATAGCTGCACCGTTTTAACATACAAACAGCATGGCTTTTCTCTCTCACTCTCTCCCAAGTCGTATCAAAGTTTTTTCCCCCAAAAACGCTGTTTAGGGGTTGAGGTGTAATCGCCTGGTTATTTTCACCCCTCCCAGCCAGTTTAGCCCTAAGGGAAAGCTGTTGGAGCTTATCTCTTTTCACGGCGGGAGATTGCTGCTGGCGCGCGCGCCACAAATAATGGCCGGTCGCCGTTTTTGCTGTAAGGGGACTGCGTGGCCGTGCTGAGTACAAATTCAGTAGACTGTGTGAGGTAATCCTTATTCCAGATTAAGGTTTTTTTTTACTCAAAATACCCTGAGGAATCATCACAACCTCGTTTTTAACCATATTTGAGGCCATTGTTAATTCTTGTTGGCTTAACCCTCACAGTTCTCCCTATCCAGCGGCACAACAGCGAGCACCTAGGCCAGTGTCCACCTGTGCAGGGAAGCTGTTGAAGGCCTGTGAGTGATAATTTGGCCTGCTAGGCATTCTCAATTTGGCTGATTGGGACATCCAATTTTGCGCTATATATATATTTGCATACATATATGCACTGATAATATTAATAATAACTATAATATTAATATAATCATAATAATCATAACAATATAATAATACTAGTAATATCATAACAATAATAAATTATTATTATTGAGATACGATTCAATTTTGAAACAGATATTCATATTCATATAAAAAAGGGGGGGATTCAATTTCAGGGCACCATGTCCATCCTTGGTCAGGTCCCTGGGCGCGCCAACCACCTACACAATATAGCGTTAAATAACGAGCATACTGTTAATTCTATAATCAAAATGGCAGGGGGTAGTGGTTCACACACCTCAACTTCAAGGGGCAAGTCTAAATCTGAACACAATCCTAAGCAAAAAAAAAGGGACTTCTAAGGCATCAGAAAAAGACGCCAACAGGCGACAAAAAGCACTGGAAAAACAAATAGATAAGTGCACACGGGAAGCACACAGGACCTCTCAAGCTTCCTCACCCCACAGTCCAGAGCTGTCCTCCTCTTCCCTCCCTCCCCCACTAGATCTCTCCCTCTCATCCAGGCGCAGCGTGGCTCCCCAGACTCAACAGGCTCAGTCAACTCAATCACCAATCATGCGAAGGATACCTGAAGCGACGTTCACATCAACAGCTGCCGGTCTTCGACAGGAACAATCTCTTCCAGACGAAGTGCCAGAGCGAATGAAGACCTGGATGGAGACAGCTATCCGTCAGGGAATCGCAGCAGGCCTGCAACATGCGGTTCTGACCAGGGATCATCCTGCACCCACTGAGTATGATTCGCAATCAGTTCGATCATTGGCCAGGTCGGAGCAACACTATACCCAGGTACAGTTTCAAGGGGGTCTTCTGCTCCTCCAGGGGCTGCAGGAGGAGGAACAGGAGGAGGAGGCGGAAGAGGTGGAACACATTGATCAGATGGAACAGAGTGGATCAGAATCAATACATGATACTGACCTGGCCATGTCAGAAGCGGACCCGTTAGAAAGGGGGATGTCTGGCTTCCGGTTTGCGAGGCTTCGGCAGGGATTTGCGATCCAGCGCGATCCCTGCTGAGCTCACTGCCAAGGTTCCCCCGATCCGTTTGGATCTGGGGGATATAGCTGCCCTGCAGGGGCAGCTGAAGATAGGGGGGACCTGGAAAGGGGGCAAGGGGTGTCGCAGACCCCCTCCCCAGCCAGCAAAACCCCCTTTTCCCGAGGTGGAGGAACGGCGGTCAGCAATGGCCGCCATGAAGAAACCTGCAAACGGATAAGATTGTGCAGGAGGAAGAAAATCGGAGAAATTGTGAGAGTTGTTTCTGGACCGGGATAAAGTTGCCAAGGGATAAGAAAGTTTCCTGGGGCTTGAAAATTGCTACGGAGAAGTTGCTACATTGTTTCCAGAGAGAGTTACAAGCGGCGCACAGAATTCTAAAAGGGAACGTTTTTTTTTTTCTTCACTCCTTCGTAACGTGACAGCAGATGGAATAACAAGAGAAATCTGAAAATCTAGGTAATTAAATACTGAAGAGATAAGGATTTCTGAATGGTTCTTTTTTTAAAAAGACTTTAAAAAATTTTTTTTTGCTGTGAGTGGGAAGGGAGAGGGAAAAATTGGATTAGAATTTGAAAATAAGGAGAAGACTGCCTGGATTTTTAAAGAGCTATAAATACTAACAAGGCTTCTGAAAGATATATATTAAATGGAACTTTGTGATCAAACTCCAATCCCAGAAAGAGAAAGTGAAGGAGAAAGTGCTTAAAAGAATTAACCTATTTGGATTGCTTGGTGATTTTACCACTTTTGAGAATTATCTCTGATTAAAAGCACTTGGGTGGTTGCTTGGGAAAACTTTTTCTCTTTATAATGGCATTACTTGTGGACAGATTGAAACTTTTATATCAAAAATATGAGAAAGAAAAGCAGGAAGGGAAGGATGTTTTTGATACTCTTTTTCGGTATTTAGAAATGGCGGTCTACACTTATGTAAAATTGAATGGACAACAGGACGACTGGGACAAAGAAGAAGCCATTTTTGATGAACAAGTGACTTTGGCTGGGGAAGGAAAGGAGAAAGAGAAAAAGGAAAAAGAGACTTTAAGACCTATAAAAGCAATCAAAAAAGAGAAAAACAAGATGAAAAAGAGATATTATGTTAGAAGACAACAGAAAGGAGGAAAGCAGAGAAAAAGGGAGGTGGAGAGGCAAAGGGGTAAAGAGGACAGAGAGAAGAATAAGCAAGGGAGAAAGGGGATGAGAAGCCTCAATAGTAGAGAGCAAGATGTAAAGAAACAAAAGTTTTTTAGAGATAATGGGTAAGCTTTATTGATAAAGGGATTCTAGAGGTACATAAGATTGTTTTTTATATTTGTATTTAGAAATAATTTTAGAAAGTTGGAAATAATGTGTAATTTAAAGTGTGATAAAATGTTTAATATAACTTAGTGAAACTTGTCTTAAGAAAAGGGGAACATTTTATGAAATAAGGATTTGAGATATGATGGAGGGGGGGGGGAATTAATTGTGGAAAATATAAGTATTCCCAAAAGGCATGTTATTTAATTGAAATGGATAAAATGGTTAAGATATAAAGGAGTTGGAGAGAAAGATATAAATGAATGTCAATATTAATTAGATTGTGTTATTTCAGTGGGAATTTTTTTTTTTTGAAAGGAGAGATTTGAAGTAGGAGAAGCAGGAATACCTTAATGAAATAATGATTTAAAATATGTGATGTGGGGGGGAATAATTATGGAAAGTAGGTGCTCCCACAAAAGTATGTTAATTAATTGAAAAGTAATGTGCTAAGTGTTTATGATATAAAAGAATATGAATATTAATGAATAGATTAGTATTGGTATTGATAATATTGTATAATTTTAGAATGTACCAAATAGAATCTCAATGTAAGTTAGGTATTTTATATTAAGTATTATAAATGTAGGGGAAAGAGGTAAAGGCGTCATACTCCAATTAGTGTACAGGAGAAGCTTTTTTTTAAAGAAGAAAGATAAATCGATAGCTGGAAATAAACAGACAAAGAATAATAAATATTATGATTTGAATTGAGATGAGATAAATAAAATAAAATTAAGAGAATCTAAGAGAGAGAAGAAGCTATATAAAAAATTGAAAATGGTAATATTGATATGGAATGGCATATAAAATGAATATGAATTTGAGTTGGTGTCTGTGCAAAGGGTTTTGACCCGGGATTAAGCAACTTTCAGAAAAGATGTTTTTTTTTTTATGTTTATATGTTTTGTGTTCTTATGTGTTTATGTTTGAATGAGCTAATAAAACCTTGGAGAAAGGTTAGAAAAGGACAATGGAGAGAAAGATAGAAGAAAATAAAGCAAGTTAGAAAGGGAAAATATGTGATTGTAAGGAAATGTGTTAATGTTGTAAAACTTTCAAATAATTTTTAGAAATTTTTAGAAAAAAGGTTTTATGTTTATCTTGTATGTTTTGTATGCTTTTAAAAATTAATAAAATTTATTTTAAAAAAAAAGGGGGGGGATGTCTGAGGATGAGGGGCTTGTTCCCGACCAACCAGTATTTACAGGCCTATTCCGGCCACAACTTTTCAAATCACTCTTATTTAAGGCCATAAACATTGCACGCCTGGACAAGCCGGCCCCTTCTACCATTTCAACTCCGTCAGACGAGGGACCAGAGGATCTCATCTTCAACCAACCTCTAGTCGAGACAGACATAATTCCAGTCCCTCACATGTTTGCGGACCTGGTACAGAAACAGTGGGCTTCTGCAGCAGTGTACCCAGCCCCCACGGGTTACGACAGCAAATTCTTTAATTTGGCCCTAGATTTCTTAAAATTGTTGAATACTCCCGAGGTAGATGAACCCATTGTGGGATTAGCGTCCTCGTCCTCCATTCCCAGTGAGGCGCTGGAGGCATTAAAGCCGGAGGAAAAATGGGCCTAGCTAGCCCTACGCAGGGCCCATCAGTCTGATGCGTGGGCCATCAGAGCAGCCATGGCTGCTTCCTTCTTTACCTGTTCTTCCCTTAGATGGCTCCGGCTATTACGGGAGCATGTCCCCAATTCTAACATTAGAGCACACCAAGACATTGCAAAGCTTATAGCAGCCACTGAATTCTCAGCTGACACAACCTTTCATGCAGTTAAGTTTTCAGCCAGAGCCATTACTTCACATGGCACAGCGCGACGCTTGCTATGGTTAAATAATTGGCAAGAGGATATTAAGCATAAATGCAAGCTCTCCTCTTGTGGGAGACAGACTGTTTGGCCCTTCCCTCGATCTGCTACTTATCGAGACTTGAAACAAAAAGAAAATTTTACCTTCCCTTTTTCGGAAGTCAGACCCTAGAAACCCTCAGTCCTTTCGGAGGGGATCCTTTCGGCACTTTTATCAGGGACCATTCTCAACCAGATACCAGAGACCCTCCCCACCTTTCCAACCAGGGCAACAGCCAGAGAAGTCAGACTTTGGGGATAGGAACCGAAGGGATGGCCAATCCAAGAGATCCTTCCGAGGAGCGGGGAATAGATCTTTCCGGCGTCCAAGATAACCCCATGGACCCGGCTCCCATTGGCGGCCGCCTTAAATTATTCATGGACCAATGGGACTCCTCAACGTCTGATTCCTGGGTCACAATCAGATTCGGCCTTGCGCTGGAGTTTCAGTCCACTCCCCCAGACTTCTTTATGTCGTGTCCTCTTTCCAGAGATTTGGTTAAACGAAATCTTATGGAAACAGCTATTCAGCATCTACTGGACTTACGAGCCATCCAACCAGTAGCTACTGAACAACGAGGGCGAGGTTTCTATTCACATCTTTTTGTTGTTCCCAAAAGTTCAGGGGGGTGGAGAGCAATCTTGGATTTGAAACATCTTAATCAATTTTTGGTGTATCGCAAATTTAAAATGCATACCCTGCAATATATCTTACTTGGCATCAGAAAAGGTGACGTCCTTACATCCATAGATCTGACGGAGGCGTACTTACATATTCCCATTCGGCCTTCCCACTATAAATTTTTACGATTCTGTTATAATAATTTCCATTTCAAATATGTGGCTCTTCCTTTCGGACTAGCATCTGCCCCCAGGACCTTCACAAAGGTTCTCACAGCCCTCGCTGCTCATCTCTGAGGTGTCCCCATACAACTGCAGTGTTACCTTGATGATATCTTAATTTTGTCATCTTCTGTTCATCAAGCAGTCATAGATACTCAGACTACATTACAATCCCTACGACTACACGGGTTCTCAATCAATTGGGAAAAGAGTCATATAACACCTTCAACTTGATTAATTCATCTGGGGACAGTGGAAGGCAACGTTTTCCTGTCACCAGATAGTCAAAACAGCATTCTTCAATTAGTTAAGGAGATCAGGGTTCATAAGAGGGTGTCCCTAGCTGATCTATCAAAATTGTTAGGCAAGATGATCTCATGTATATCTATTATTCCTTGGGCCCGTCTCCACACTAGATCCCTCTAGTGGTTCCTGCTCCCATACCAGCGATCTGGCCGAAGCAACTCCAAATAAAAGGTCAAGGTTCCATCACAGGTCCTCATCTCTCTCCTCTGGTGGACCAGACCAGCCATAAACAAAGGTTGTCTATTAAAAGAGCCCCACAGACTTACCATCACCACCGATGCCAGCCTGTTTGGATGGGGAGCTCACTTTCAATCACTCACACGCTGGTCCTCCATAGAACAGTCATGCAGCATAAACTGGCTGGAGCTTCGAGCAGTACACCTGGCTCTCCGCAGCTTCCTTCCACAGGTACCCAATTAATAACACATATTAATATTGACCAACAATGTGACCGCGAAAACTCACATAAACAAACAAGGGTCAAAACACCTCATACGAGAAGCAGAGCGCTTGTGTCGTTGGGCAGAGAGCAACCTGATTTCCATCAGAGCAGAACACATTTTGGGACTGTCGAATACACAGATTGGCTAAGCAGGGCCACAATAGATCAATCGGAGTGGCGCCTCCATCCAACCCCCTTTCAAGAGGCGGTCAGGACATTTGGGCAGCCAGTGATGGACCTGTTCACTTCCCCACTCAATGCTCAGCTCTTGAGATTTCTTTCCAGATACCCCTCGCAAGGAGCGGAGAATTTCAATGTGCTCCATTGCCGTTGGCCCCTGAGGCTTCTGTACGCATTCCCGCCACTTCCACTGATCCCCAAGGTCATCCAGAAGCTGTTCGACAAGAGGGCGGAGCTGCTTCTGGTAGCTCCCTACTGGCCCAGACGGTCGTGGTTTGCAGACCTCCGCAGTCTGTCCGTATCACCACCATGGAGAATTCTGCCAGACAGGGTCTTGTTAACCCAGGGACCCCTTCAATATCCGGACCCTCAATGGTTGCACCTGACCGTCTGGAGGTTGAGCGGAGTCATCTGAAGAGCGAAAAGTTTTCCAACAGTTATTGCCACCATCCAAGCTGCCAGACGCCCCTCAACAACTCTCATCTATAATGCCACATGGTCCAGTTTCTGCAAATGTTTGTTTCTCTCTTCGCCAAAACTGGGGGATGCTGGGGAGGAGTCCCATGGAGGAGGAGGAGCGTTCCGCAAATTAAGCCCAGCCTAGACAAGCAGAGACTGAAGCACCTCCCACTACTGGATGCTCTTCACAGCTCAAAGAGAACAGGCGTGTCAGGTAAGTACCAACGCCCTTTCTCTTCGTGGAGCTGGCCTTCTTGGATATGGCACCTCCGTTGTGAAATATCTCCTCCTCTGAGTTAAGCTGACACCATCACTTCTGACTTTCTAAAGGGCTCTCAAGAACTGGTTGTGCCATCAAGCTGAGAACTGGCAAACTACTGGCAGTAAGATGGCTCTCCCATTATAATCCCTTCACCCATGATTTGTTTTAGCTCTGTTTTATAATTTTTAACATCAATAATAATAATTGTTCCTATTATTTGTAAACTATTGGTTTTTTTTTCTTCTACTCCACTGAGAGTCACTTGTAAGAAGGGCAACTATATAAATTTGATAAATAAAATAGAAGCCGCTACAAGCAATGATTAAAGTTCTTTCAGATAAAAAGTGACTTACAAGTAGATCTGTTTTTAACAATCAAGCCTGTATCATTGTTTCATATCGTGAAGTTTAAATAACCCACACTATTTTAAATTTTCCACTGAGTTTCACACTACTGCTATCAGAGAAAGGCTGTACAAAATTTAGTTACATTTTCAAAAATGTCCAATACTCCTAACAAAATTATGTTTACTGTGTTTGTTTAATTCATATTTAAATTTATTTTCTCTAGCTCACTGCCACTTTACGAAACTTAGTAGACTTACTTCAGTCACGGTGCAAATTCCTTGAGTATGGAGCAATTCCAGAGCTCTGCCTCACATTGGAGAAACGTATGAGTGACAAGGATATATGTATCAATGTGGCCAGAATATTTAGGTAACCCTCACTATTAAAAAAAAAATACAATGTAGATCTTTTTTGACTCTTCAGCAACCACCTCATTATCTATTGAAGTGGTTGCTTCCATGGAGATACTGTTTATATTTCTGTTGAAATACTTTGGATCAGTGTAGCATTTAATTCCTGAATGATTGTTTTGGCTCACTTTTTTGAATAAGAAAACACAAATTTTCTGCAATCTAAATACAAGTAGACCACCCACAGGCTGCTGGGTGCCCTTGAGTACATTATCTGTTTTGACTTGTGGTTTCCGTAAGAGTGTTAGTACTTCTCTCCCTTACCCAGCCAGCAGACAATGTGTGTGGGAAAGGATTATTCCTTGCTTCTAATGCTGTAACCTGCCTTAGGATGGCTATTAGAGGGGAGGAAGAAACGCTGTTGCTTCCTCCTTTATAGCAACCGGGCTCGAGATTGTGGATTTTTTAAAAATGATTTTAGCAATAAGCATAACAGAAATTGGCCTCAAAAATCATTAGGCATGAAGAGCATAAGACTTCTTCCATTGTCCCTTTTAAATATTGTTGCTTTTCACTGCTAGATAGGATGCAGTACTAATTTTGAGTTGGTTTATTGGGAAAGGATTAAGTTCTGCCTACTCCCCAAAAGAACTTACGCTGAATGCTACTGTGTCTCTATGTATGTGAAGGTGCATTTGAATGTATGTACGTATGTATGTATGTATGTGCAAGCAACCAATAGATATGGCCTCTGGTTACTAATTTATTCACCCCTGCTCTAAAGCAAAGATCATCAAAAACATCCCCATAGGAATGAATTAGCAGCATTGCTTGTTTAACACAGAAAACTTCTTATATTCCAACCCCTGTATGATTCCTTCAGAAAAAGAATGCCATTATATTAAATAAGAGGAAATCTGTCTCCTGTAATAGTGGCCAATGGCAGCAGGCAGCATTTAAGGCTGAATACAATAATACATTGATTTTTCTTCTTCTGTTATCCATAATTAAACGGTTCAGTGAAACAGGACAAGGTCCTCTTGACATCAGCTGAGGGCCTCAGGACTTGCCATCTTTGTTTCTCTGTCACTGGTGTTGTTATATGTCTTTTCTTCCTTCTCATAAAAATACCACTTTGCTTTCCAGTAGCCACTTCCTGTACGTGGGGTCCTTGGTGCTCTCTGAGCTTGGTTGTTCTTGCAGACATTTCATTATCCAAACTAGGTAACATCTTCAGTTCACTAGTGATGTTACCTAGTTTGGGTAATGAAACGTCTGCAAGAAAACAACCAAGCTCAGAGGACCAAGGATCTCAACCCTGAGCTACAAATGTTCTCCTTTATTAGTACTTCATGTTATTTGCTGCTGCATTATCCTTGGTTGCTGCCGCTTTGTCTTTCTTGTTGAGGTGCTTGAAGATGTTTGTGTTTGCAAGAAATCATAGTGGGACTCACAGAAACAGTAGAGCAGTGATCCCCAACCTTTTTTATGCCGCGGCCCGGTACCGGCATTAGCTGGGCGCCGCGGCCCGGTACCAGCATCAGGTGGGCGCCGCCATCTTTTTTTGATGAAAAAGTGCTTCCGGTGAGCTTTCTACCCGGAAAAGCTCACCGGAAGCAGTTTTTTGTCAAAAAAAGATGGCGCCAAGCAACCAGCGGCCCGGTAGGGGTTGTTCCGCGGACCGGTGGTTGGGGACCCCTGCAGTAGAGGGATTTCTTCTACTACTGTAGCAACTTAAGTTAAGCTTTTGATTGTCATTATTCCTTGTGATAGAATTGATTTTTTTAAGTCATCAAAGCCATTGCCACTTGTTTCTCTAATTGTTATTTCTATTGAACTGTACAAAAATAGAGAATGCTGGTCTTTTCATTTTGTACTATGAATAATGTTTAAAACCAAAACAAAATACTTACATTATACTGGAATTGGAAATCATAAAAGAAAACCTAATCTATATTATTGTTTCAAACGTGCAGCAAACTTTCTTCCTTCAACGACTGCTGTGCAGCTTTGGCAGATTGCTCCAGATGTTATGCCTTATTTTTAGCCCTGCTGAACAAATACCCAACAAAGCAGGTCAGTTTGTTAATCATCTGGTTTTTTAAAAATATATTTTAATCCTTTGATGTGCCTGTGGGGTTATATGTATGTTAGTCCATTTTCAGAGACAAATTCCATGTGTATTTTCCAGATAGAATTGAATGTCTTCAGGCATTTAGGTGCTTAGAAATAGGTCCCTGTTGCAATACAGTCCTTTACTTATTATCACAATTAGGACCAGAATTTCTGTTGCTAAGCAAGATGGTTATTAAGTGAGTTCCACTTGATTTTATGGCCTTTTTTGTCATGGTTGTGAATCGATCACTGCAGTTGTTAAATAAATCACATGGTTATTAAATGAATCTAACTTCCTCCATTGACTTTCATTGCTGGAAGCCAGTTGGGAAAGTCACAAATGGTGATCACATAACCTTGGGATTCAGCAATCTTTGTAAATACACGCCAAGCGCCCAAACATGCCATCATGGGGATACTGTGACTGTTGTACGTGTGGGAACTGATTGTAAGTCACTTTTTTCAGTGTAGTAACTTTGAACAGTTACCAAGGTAAGCTAATGGTTGTAAGTCAAAGACTACCTGCAGATGTAGATAGTACAAACCTCCTACTTATTGAGATGTAATAATAGAGGAGAATGTACAGATTTAAGGGCTTGGGAATTTCAAGGTCCCTAAACTTCTGCATTTGGCCAAAAATGGAATGAAAGAACAACGAGCAAAGGGGGGAAAAAAAGGGGGGGGGGAGAATGATTGTTAGAATACAAGATTGCATTAAAACAAATACATTTTCTCAAATAATAAGAGCAGATTAAATGTTTCTTTTGACTGGGTTGCTATGTGAAGATTCCAATTCATTACAAATTGACGTAACTATATATTTTTTACTTGTGTCAGTTTTTAGTGTGCTAATTTATACTGAAAGAGTCAGTAAGGCATCAGTTAGAAACCAGGAGGTCATGAGTTCTAGTCCTACCTTAGACATGAAACCAGCTAGTTTACCTTGCTTGGACCAATCATGCTCTCTCAGCCCCTTGGAAGGAGGCACTTCTGGAAAACCTTGCCAAGAAATCTAATCTAAGTAGGAATCAAACTGACTCAAAAATACACACACTCCTCTTGTAATGCTAAATCCATTATTACTGTTGTTATGGATGCCTATTCCATAACAGTGGAATTTTTTTCTCCTCTTTTACTGTGAATTACTGCAGAGGAATACTGATGCACACAAGGCTGAGTATGGATTATTCCAGGGTGTATTCAACTGAGTAGTGATATTTATTCAGCTATACGGAGTCCTATTCCAATCCTGTTGTGTCTCTTCATATCTGTCCCGAGAACTGAATAATGGGACTGTGTTGACCAGCAAGTCCTAATCCTGATTCTCTTATGAGGAAAATGAAAGAGTTTTGATGTATCAGTAATAAGTTCTTATTAGTAAGTGTTGTTCGGATACAGATATAAATACAGATATAAAACTTTTGAGAGGAGAATGAAGTAAGTATTAATAATAAGCCTAGCTAATCATTCTTTAGTATTTCCTAATTCTCATTAGGTAACCAGTAATTTTTAACAGTATTAGAAAATGAGCATCTCGAAGTTCATTTTTCTGATTCATTAGTTGCTTGATGCATGTATTCTATTCTATACAGAAAGAGATCACTCAAAAATTACATTTTTATGTTAATATTAGATCTAATAGAAGGGATTATGTCTTACTTAAAGGTAAGGGTGAATCAGTTTTTACAATAAGTTTTTCTTTCCTAAGTATTTGTTTCAACGTTTGTTTGCAATGGATATTTTAAAAGCAAATTAATTCCCATCTACATTTTCAGCAGCACCATCCTCAATAATATACAATAAAGCAACTCTTTCATACACAGTTATTGAAACTGTGTTGTTTTTACACAAAGTAATGACTATATTACTGGGTTATATAAACATTGTAGTTTCTAGTTGGGTAGTATGGTGTTGAGATTTGAGTTAGATTTTTTAACTGAAATCAGTGTTATAAACGTAGAATTGTGGAAGTTATGTTTTGAAAATATTGCTAGAGAGTATGCTTCGGTAAGGAATGTCTTATGCCATTTTTATATGTAAATGTGATAAATAAAATCATGCTTGGTTGCATTATGTATTCTTTCACTTTTGTACTTCTAAGTATGAACTGTTTATTGAATATTCTGTTCAATATGAACGGAAGTGAGTTAGAATTTATTTCAAACATCGAATTATTTATTGAAATGAAAATTATTGGTTTTTGTTTGCAGCAAGTTATTTCCTTTCTTATGTTCAATTTCAGGACTTAGTTATCCGTATCATTTTCATTCTTGGCAATTTAACAGCAAAAAACAATCGAGCCCGGGAACAATTCTTTGAGGAGCAAGGAAGCATTGATACACTCATAGCACTTTTCAAAACTTACTGTGAAAATGTTCCTAATCATAAACTGTGGAAAGATGGCGAAATAAAAAATCTCAGACACCCTTCTGAAGCAGAAGACATTCTTATCAAGCTGATAAGAGTGATTGCCAATCTATCCATTCATCCAAACGTAGGCGTATGTTTGGCAACTAATCATCACATTGTGGCATTACTTATTACAGTGCTTGGTAAGAACTGCTTTTGAATATATAATCTGTACAAGACAAACCATCAATGTCAAAATCATTTGGCTGACATTAATTTATGTCAGGTGTCCCAGCACCAATGTACATTTTCTGAAAGCACTAGACGCTCTTAGAACTGTTGCCACCTCCTTCCTGAACTATAAGTAAATATTTTCATTATATTAAGGAATTTCTGGAGCAATTTTTTAAAGGTTCCTGGGTACTCATGCCCAATGGATAATCCAGATCCGGTCATATCAGTTGGAGTTAAAATCTAACATACCGTATTTGCCGGCGTATAAGACGACTGGGCGTATAAGACGAGCCCCCAACATTTCCACTCAAAATATAGTTTTTGTTATATACTCGCCGTATAAGACGACCCCCCCACTTGGAGGCATGCTTTTCAAGGCAAAAAAGTCGTCTCATACGCCGGCAAATACGGTAAGTTGTAACACTTGGGGTATTCTGGATATAATTCTTGATTGACACCCCCAACCCCTTTCCCCCAAACTTACAAAGCCACCAAAATGCTTTAGAGAGGCAGCTTCGCCTTTCTCAGGCTGGCACTCAATTCCTCTCCCTTTCTTTGTGACAGCCCCCGC